GTGAAAATTGTGTGAACCCACTCTGAAGGCCATTTCCCTGTCAGCCATATCTTTTTGCAGATGGTATGAAAGATATGAACAGCGTATGTCATATTATTAATGTCAATACTGACGGACTAGATACGGACTGCTTCGTCGAGTGGTCGCAAGTGCGACCGCCGGGCAAGGGATCTTGGGTTCAACTCACGGGTCGGGCAAAATATTACTCGGTTTAAAAAAAATCTTAGTAACAGCACGGAGTCTGGAATTGTGCCTGGTATACGGTAATAGGCTCATCTTTTTATTACATGTGACTCATAACATAAATAGTGAAAAGTGGGTGTAACTTCTATGTGCACTTCTGCCTACCCCTTTAGGGATAAAAGGCATGATGTTATGTTTTATTAACTATAAATAGTGTACTTACATATATACATGAATTATCAACGGAAGATGGAAGCGTATTTTCCAAAATAAGATCATGATCATAATAATTGTAACACCTGGAAAAAATAAAAAAACTGGTTTGTACCCGCGGCGTTTGGCTATGGGAACTTACCTTTATTTTCTTCTTCATACTCCGGATCACACATACAGTCATACATGCATACATAACCTCACGCCTGTCTCCCATGCGGGTAGGCAGATACTAAAGAACGCTATCTATTCTTAAAAACCTCTTTCGTTTCTACAACAGCCAATTGTCTTTCCATGCATGCTCATCGGTTAGGGGTACTTTTAATTTAGCCCTTCTTTTATATCGCAAATCTGGTCTATATTACACCCGTCTAGTGCGCCCTCTACTGACGGTCTCATTCATATACGCTGTGTATTACTCCTTTCGTAAATCTGATTTCATCCATGTATTCTACATGTCCGAACTATCGCAACATTCCATTACTAATCCTTGTCACTACATCTTTTAATGCACACATTTCTCTAATAACACTATTTTTCACTTGATTACACAAACTTCTCAGGGCTCTCATTTCCACCACACAGAACCTACTTACATGCTACTTACGAAATACCCATGAAAAAGTCATCTAATAACTTATCAGTCTCTTCAATCAACAATACGTGATAGACCCTTACTTACTAAAAACCACCCTGTTCTTACTCTGCACTTCGAGCCGGAGCCCCGGCAATACGGTAAGTCCTCCGCGGTACTGTATCGGCATAAGCCCTATTGGGCCCATCTGTGATGGTTTGACGGGTCCTAGTGGCGCGCGCGGAAACGCGCCGTAACCTCGGGTCTGGTTCTGGTCGCGCGGCGTGCATCTCCAAGAGGCTGTCAACGCACTTACCTCTATAACACCTCTGATGTTGTAAGTGGCATAGGGCGTCGCTGAATGCTTACCACCGTCTGTTATATTGCGTACCAAAAGATACAATGAAAATATACTATATATTGACTGAGTCGTTGGCCGCGTGGTCGCAAGTGCGCCTGCCGGACCTGGGCAAAGTCTTGAGTTCGATTCTCGGGTCGGGCAAAGTATTACTGGGTAAATCTCAGTAGTAGCACGGAGTCTGATATTGTGCCCGGTATATGGCAATAGGCTCACCCCTATTACATGGGACTCATAACATAAATAGTGAAAAGTGGGTGTTACGTTGTACAGTGACTCAAGTGCTGTAAATGCACCTGCCTATGTTATGTTATTTAAAAATACTATTTTACTTACCACCCATGGGTCACTGAAAAATCATCGAAATATATGTTTAGTGGCTGATTTTCTTCAACTATATAAATCGTTGGTGCTTTGAAATCGTGTATACGAATAATGTGATCTTTGTCTGAAAAAGAAAAAAAAAGAAATATAAATGTAACTAACTTCAAATAAAAAATACACTAAAAAGCTTAAAAAAAAACAATTTAACCTACCTACTTAATTCACTTGCTGTGTCGGTTGAAAAATGAAAAAAAGTGTTATAGAAACTATCTAATCCCGCACGGTTCCAGCCGTTGCTCGGCGCACCTTGTCCATAGCAGTTAAAGTGTGGGAGAGCCTTGCTTAAGCATAAATAAGCCGGCTCGACCGGAGTGATACCACGGCCTCACAGAAGACCGACGTGAAACAATGTGTTGTGTTTCGTCGTGTGAGTGAGGTTACCAAATGCCCAATTAAATTTCCCCAATCCCTGAATCAACAATCCTCAAATTCCTAGTCCCAAAAGGCCGGTAACGCACTTCTAACGCCTCTAGTGTTCTAGGTGTCCATGGGCGACGCCGATTGCTTAACATCAGGTGATCCATCAGCTCGTTTACCGCCTTATCCCATAAAAAAAATAGCGTGATGCTTTATACACCATTTAGCTTTCTTCGATAAATGGACTATTTAACACAAAAATAATGATTCAATTCAAGCCAGTAGTTCTGGAGACGAGCGCATTCAAATAATCAAACTCTACAGGGCCTTAAGTCTGTTATTTTTATAATTGTTGTCATTCCAACACGATCGCATTGTCATTTTGCTAAAAGTTCCTAATCTGATAAATTCATAATAGTTCATCATTCATCAGTCAATGGTCTCGTAATGGAATTGTAGTAGAATGACTTTGCCGTATAGCCATTATTATAAAACTTTGCAGTAGAAACAGTTTTCGAAAATTCATTCTTGCCAAATGTTATTGATATTTTATTTTAGAAAATATCAATATTATATAATGTTTTATTTTAGAAAATATCAATATTATATAATATTTTATTTTAGAAAGTATCAATCAGTGTTATATGCAATCTGAAGTATCACCACGCACGAGATTACCATTTTATGTCAATCCTTTCAATGATGTGTCAGTGGTTGACCATTGAAAGTCTTTTTTTGGGAGGGAAAATCATCGAATGACTGCTCCCGCCTGGGCGAGGCGGGAGGGAGTGTCAGACTCTTACTGACTAAACACCACCCTGTTCCTTCTCCTGCACGTCGAGCCGGAGCCCCGGTAACCCGTTAGATTCTCCGCGACTCCGAATCGGTATCAGCCGTCTTGGGCCCCATACGTGGTGGTCTGATGGCTCTTTAAGGCGCGCGCGCAACGCGACGCGCCGTGTTTCTGGTCGGATGGGGAGCCACCCATGCTCGCCGTCTGCAGGCCCGCGCTTACAGTGGCCGGAGATCGTCCCGCGCTCCCCGACGCCCTGTGTGTCCTTCGCGATGGCTGGGTTGCGAGGTCGTTCCGCCTCCTCTTTAGCTAACATAAATGCTTCGCAAAAGGAGGAGACGGCATCCCAGTCCCCCTCGCTACGCATCATGACCTGCATTAGGCCCGGACGCGGGAGGTCGCCATCGCCGATCACTTCCCTGAGGACACGGCGGTGCTCAGCCGACGCAGGGCATTCCGCTACAGTGTGTTCCACCGTGTCCTCAGGGCGGTCTTCGCAGTGATATTAGAAAGTCATAATGACGGCATTACATTAGTAAATTTACCAAACTTGTCAAAATCACAACAATTTTGAAAAATGATCGATCATTCTGACACTATTATAATAGCAGACTTGAGGCCTAGCTTTATATATATTATGTATTAAGAAAATGTAGATAAATAAATAACTAATTAATTTGGCTACTTACTGACTTTGTAGATTAATCCATTGGCATAGAAAATAAGTAATAAAATTATGAAACTATATAGGCAATTCATTTCTATTGTTTTACACTATTACATTAACCTCACATCAAGAGCTCTCCATATCATATGCAAGCTTTACCTCGAATACATAATGCTACCACGATTTCTGTAGTTCTAAGGACAATTCCGGAAATCGTTTTTATTAATATTTGTAATCCTTTTTTGACTGCCTCGTTGACCGAGTGATCGCAAGTGTGACTTCTGGGCAAGGGGTCTCGGGTTCGATTCCCGGGTCGGGCAAAGTATTACTGGGTTTTAAAAAAATCTCATTAGTAGCAATAGGCACACCCCCTATTACATGGGACTCATAACATAAAATAGTCAAAAGTGGGTGTTACACTGCACAGTATGTTATATTGTGTAAAAAGGAGGTTATTAGTAGAAGGATTTGTCTCCGGACAGCAGCAGTATCTTACATCTATTGAAACTGAACCTTTTCAACTGCTATCTCCAATCCGCCTGCAAAGCGTGAAGGCCCTCTTATTTCGAGGATGCGGCATAATAATTAAGTTGTCATTAGCTCTCTGCATCGCGCGCTGAGCGACATTGAGCTTCTCCAGAAGGCCAGAGGTCAGGGACTACGTCTCGGTACCACACGTCATCACCGCCAACACGCACTGGTTAAGCATCCTGATCTTCAGGTACTGAGGGATTCTTAATGAGAAGGTTTCGCGTAACTTCCCGATTAAATTTACCTACCAAAAAACTCAGATTACCCACATAATTAATTGTATTACATATATTTTTTATTTAATAAACTGGTAATCGAGAAGATAGATCACTTTAGCAATCGTCGCCGCTCATGGATGAGTGTCCATCAAATCCAAAACGATAGAGGCGTTACAAGTGCGTTGTCAACATTTTGGGAGTTAGGAATCGTTGGGAATTCGGGGATTGGAGAGATTGGGAAGGGACGTAATTGGGCCTCCGATAAACTCACTCACACGATGAAATACAACGCAAGCGTTTTTTTACGTTGGTTTTCTGTGCATGGCTCTTATATACTTTTAGGGAACAGAGTGTAAAGTTCCCTAAGATCGGAAAAAGAGGATCCTCCGACCAGGCGAGGTGCTCGTGCCTGGCGTGCTTTGTGTCCAACCGTTGTTCGTTGGGATTTTCTATTCGTGTTTATTCGCTTGTAAACTTTGCATGTGCGATGTAGGATTCTTGTGACGTCATCCAGTGATATGTACCATGTGTCGCCATATACTCATAATATAATCCTGAACCGTTTATCTTTATCCTATAATGAAATAATGTATGTATGTATGACTGTATGTATATTAAAATAATGATATTGTTTAGTGTTGCATAATGATAAGTATGTAGTTAGCTAAGAGAATTGTTTAAAACGATAAACATCTTAACGGTGCCCTGTCAATACATATATGAAAATATAATGTATGTAAGAAAGAATAGGCAATTGTTCGAAAAAAGAAGCGATAGACACAATCTTAATACTAGAGGCAAGAATAAGTTAGCTGTACTGCAATTCAGACTGTCCAAGGTACAGAAATCCTTTATGGGGTTAGGTATTAAATGCTATAATAAAATACCAAATAGCATACTAGATCTAAATGAAAGTAAATTTAAAACATATATTAAGCGCGAATTATGTAAACAAGCGTACTACAGGGTGATTGATTATCTTGAGGATAGGAATGCTTGGCAGCGTGTTGGTTCGGCTCCACTGGACAATACTCAAATGTAGTCAGTACCTAGTTCAGATTACGATAATAGGTAATTTAACACTTTGATTCCGATGAAGGCAATCTATTTTTCTTGTGGCATCGAGCATTTCTTTCTTTATTTAAACAAGAGTATATTTTTTATTTTTTTCTTGTATAGAAGCACTATTTTATATGGATTGTCAGTATACATATGTGAGGACCATGTCAGACTTAAGATATTTGTTTTCTCTTGGTTTTGTTTTTTTTTTTTCTATTTTAGTATGTTCTGTTAT